TCTTGTATCTGGTTGAACAAATGTTTTAGCCTTTGTAAACAAACACATCAATTTATAGATAATATAATCGACTTCTATTTCATTGAGAACTAAAATGTAATGATATATTGTTGTGAGTCATCTGTGTTAGCAGAGTTAGGAAGTAGGCAATTACCATAGATGATATTCTGCTTTACATTGTTTTCTCTTGAGAACTGTTCAGTGAGCAAGCTTCCTTCCTTGCAATTCTTTCAATAAAATATCCAAATTTAGGGAAAAAGAAAAGGTTGGTAAATGTTGTCTCTTGGTGACACAAATATTAAATATCCTTTAGTCCTTGCATAGAAGTTTATACCTGGTTAGAGAAGAAGTGAGTTACACTCTGAGGGCTTCACTTATGACTGTGTGCATTGAAAAACCTACAAGAATTATTTCAATCTCTCCTTGTAAGTACAAAATAATTCTGTTTGGTGCTAAAAGCTGTTTGGCTTTCTGGGCCAGTGTCACAGTGCCTGGAGAAGGCCAATGAGGAAGCTGAAGAGTACATATGCTGCTTACATAAGGAGTGCAGCTCTGGGACACAGCTCAATGAGTAGTGAGAAACCCACGCCATATGGAGTGGTGTAGCACCTCACAGACAGCCTGGGCATCCCTAGAAGTAGTAATACAGACAAGGGAATGGTAGAGAAAGGGATTTTTTGTTTACCTTTGCAGTAACAGGGCTCAAACTGCTCAGAAAGCCCCATCATCTTGTTGCCAAATCATCTTGTGTTAACTGCATCTTTCTGCTGCAGCTTGTAGATGTGCCTTTTGGAAAGAAGTGAGCATTTAGTTCTCCAGGTGGTATTCAGAGGTCTCTGGCCCCTCTGTGTTCATACCACATTGTAACTCTGTGAGATTCTCTTTTTGGTTTTTGGTGGTTTTTTTGTTGTTTTTTTTTGTTTGTTTATTTGTTTTTGGTTTTGGTTTTTTGTTTGTTTGTTTTGTTTTGTTTTTTTCTGGTAATTTTTTTCCCTGGCCTTTCAAAATGTGAATTAGATTTCTACATTGCTGAAGGTAGGATAACATAGAAATGTTATCTCAACATAATGAAAGTGCTGATTAAATAATTATTTTAAAGTTTCATGCTGTTCAGAGTTAAATGTTTCCATTGACTTTTCAATGAGAATGATTTTTGAAATTTCACCTATTGTGTAAGTTGTTTGCATTAGATTTTCGGGGCTCTGATGGAGCGGAAAATGTAAAAGCAAAAGCTGTGAAACTTTTTTGATAATTTGATGATGTTTTCTTTGTGAATTACAGCAGATTAGGTATCCCACATTATAAGAAAGACTTTAATGATCAAATTCAACAGGTTTTTTAAAACTACTCTTTTAAAGGCCAGCCTTTGAATTCTGCATTCAGGTCAGAGCTCAAAGTCTGACCCTTAGGCTTAACACACATAGTAAAGAAGTATATTTTTTGTAACTAAGAGGCAGACTTCCAGTGTCAGATTCTTTTTAGTCCAGCATCACTCAAACAGCCAGACTGAATTATTTGACAACTGTAAGGGAGTTGAACATGAGGAAAACACTTTCTACTGAGCCTGACAAGTGGAGAGCCAAGGCCAGTGCCATTCTATAATCTAGATTGCATTGAGGAATGGGTTAGAGACATTTTGTGCTGTTAATTGTTTTATAGCTACTCTGGAGTAAAAGTCTGCTTTATTTCTAAAGCTGAAACCATAAGAAGGCAACTTTTTGCTTTTAAATTGACAGATTTATATCAATGAGGAGGTATTCAAGTCCCAGTACAGGATGTGGTCTGACTTCTCTCTCAGCAGCCATGCTTGCTGGGTCCCCTGCTTTGAGTTATGCCCAAGTGAACAAGCCACAGACACACCATTTGCTGTATTGAATTCAAGTAGTGCTCAAAAAAACATAATCATCCTTTTTGCCTGATCAAAGTTGTCTTCCCTCCACAATTATAAAAGATAGAGGAGAATTGAGACACATTTGCCTCCTGCACACCTCTTTGCCTTTTGACATAGTGTGTATTTCAGACTGATTCCAATAGGTCTTTGCCAGGGCATCCTTGGAGATGATGCTGAGACTGGCTGGCCCATCTCCTGATGCTTCTTCCCCTCTCTCCTCTGGTGTGGTCATGCAACAAGTAGGGAACAGATACTGCTGAAAGCTAACTGCTGGGGAGGAAGGGAAGGGGACTGCTGGGAGGTGGTCCCAGGTTGGAGAAGGGGAGGGCAGATCTTGAGCTTTCAGTACTGGCCCCGACAGATTTAATAAAAGCAGCTGAAGTTTAAGAAGAACATTGCTCAAATAACCAAGGTGACCAATGGACCTCAGTAAAGTTATTGGCTTTGCTAATTGTATTTATTGCAAGGTTTGGCAGATTTCATTGGAATAAGGTTTGTCAGTATTATTTTTGACTATTAAAAGTATTTCTTTGTAAATAAATGTCAGCTGAGCTGGATTCCTTACATCTTTTTTGAGTTCTGCTTTTTCTAGTGGTTGTATGGGAATCACTGAACCACTGTATTAATGTGACTAATACTCTGTGTAGACACAAAAACACCAGCCCATAACACAAAAATACAGCAACCCCCACAACAAAGAAGCAAATAACACCCTCTACCTGCCAACAGGTATCAAAAAGTGTTTAGCAGAAGATATTGTGGGTGTTAGGAAATAATTAGAATTTCATGAATGGTCAAGGAACTACCATTTAAAAAAGCAATGGTTTCAGAAAAACTTGTTCAGTTTAGTATATAACAGTAAAACGTTATCTGTTGTTTTGTAGTTCCTGAACCTTTTTGCTGTACTTAAACAGTATAGCAATGAATACCCCTGAATTTTCATTAAAAGTTGAATCATGTTATCATTTGAATTAGTTAACCAAGGCTTATGTAAAATGAAAAAGATACTTTTGCTGAAACAATAGAAGTATGCAACTCTACTGTATGAAATAGGAGAATGCCCATACTGCATACTACAGTTAAATGCCTTTGATTCTTCCTGGGTTTCCAGCTAATCATTTTGTAGATCTCAGACTCTGCCACAAGTGATTCAGAGGTTTTCTCAACAAACTACAAAGTTTTCTACTTGGTAATGTTGTACTTTGATTTCTCAGTATTGTATGTCTGTGTTGGTAGCTGCATGTGCAGATGTACTGTGGTAGGAGTTGGAAGTTGAATAGGGTTAAATTCTTAGAGGTGATGTATGGGGTGATTTATGTTTTTTTTTAAGGGTACTTTAGTAACTTTTCAAGTTTAACTTGAGAAATATGGAAAAATTACTTGAGGACTAAATGATTATAAGAACTTGAATGCTGACCAAGATAATACAAAAATAAAGGAGGCTTTGCCTTCTGAAAAGTTAATATTTATTTGTGCCAAAGTGCAAGACCTTTGAATGCACAGAAACTTTAACGTTCTGCTTGACATGGCTGAATTAACAGTAATGTTGGATTTGTGAAACCAAATAAAATATTTTTGTTGTGACCATTTATTGAAAATTAATTTTTCTGGGACTGTATGGCAATCTGTTGGTTGGGTTCTCAATGAAGGAAGAAAATCATTTTATGGGCGCCTTTCAGTGTATTGTATAAAAATATCAAGTTTTTAAGATTTTGCCTTATAGGATTAAATTTCAAACTACTTTTTTTTCTTACTGTTCTTGAAGACAGCAATTAACATTGCTTACTATCACAGCTTGTGAAATGCAAAGTGGACTGTCATATTTTTAGATGCAGAAGTTTTGGTTGAATTTATTTCCTGTTTGCTGTAATGAAGGACTAGTTAGCCGTGCTAACTAACATTCTCTGCAGGTCACATCACAGCTTGCTGTATTTCTGTAATTCTGGCTACCAAGCTCAAAATACAGAGGTAGAGCAGGCAAAAGTCCTATTGATTCAAGCTTGATTTTATCCATCTTTCAAGGAAGTATTTACTACTTACTGCCTGCACAGTAAAGGAGGATGAATCTTGTTAGTTGCTGACCATGAAGAGTTAATTGCCAGAGTTTTGGAAGATTATAGGCTAATTCTTAAAAAATTATTTTTCTTAATAATTTAATACTCATGAAGTAGACTAACTGAGTACTAAGTAGTGGATCTGTTTTTGCTGATGAAACCTGTGACTATTTTACTTTTTAATTTTTAGGAATCCTAGAATCTATTTGCTGATTTTGCACAGTATGAAAATTTGATGACGTGTTCAGGAGTTGTACTTAATACTAAAGAGTCATTGCAGTACTTTTTTCTTATTGTGAAGATAAGCTGTCGATATCTGTGTCAAACTCTGCTTTCTGAACAAGCAAAAGGAGTCTTTAATAGGTCTGTCAGCACTCAGCCCCACTGAGACAAAACACAGCCTTACAAATCCATGAGTGCTGACTCAACAAATTCGCTATATCCGAAGAAACTCTGTTGGACTTTTGTAAGCACATTTGAAAGAAATTAATAGTTTTTCCAGTTCTGGTTTTTACAGATGTGATGGAAAGCCAGTCTTTGCTATGTAGAAATAATCACTTTGAGAAGTGTCTTCTTGCACATGCAGTAATTTAAATAAATAGGGCTGGTTAGTATGAAAAGTAAAAATTGATAGTAGAAAGAGTAAAAGTTTTAAAACCAAAATGCTAAAGGATAGTGTATATACAGCAAATGAGGATTTATTTTGTCAACTTTATTGTGAATATGTTTGAATTCTGTCTCTGGGCATGAATTACAGGATTGGAGAATTAGGCCAGAGCTTACAGGAGTTTGATTGCTTTACATTAAGTTTATATGAGTTTGTTCCTAAGGATATGTTATCAGCAACAACTAGAAAGTTCATTTTGGAGACGGTTCTACCAAATATTAAATATGTTATATATGAATTTAGCTTGAAGTGGATTAAGATGTGCAAGTGTTCCAGTCATTTTTAATCTCAGCTATAAATGGTATTTGCAGTGCTTTGCAGTTACCCATATAATATTGTCAGTTTTGAGAACTGATCACTACTTAGGCATTTTCTCTGTCATCCTCAGGAAAGATGTCTAGAGACCGGGCTCTCAGGAAGCAGCAGCAGCTGAATAATTTGGTAGCAGCAGTGACAAAGCTCGCGAAATCTGGAGATTTGATTGTGGATTTTTGCAGTGGAGGGGTAATGTATATTTTTGTTTACGTGGTGCATTTTCTTTCAGCTTTCGTCTTTGCAGTGCTGGGTGGTTGCTGCCACAAAGCAAAGCAGAAGTGCAAATGCTGAAATTTTAGCTGCTTTCAAAGGTTCTCTCATTGGTATGGGAATGCTCATCACATAATGAGTGTACAACAAGGAGTGTTCCCTTTTCAGTGTTGAAAAGTGACTCAGATTTTGTTGTTTGTTTGTGTTTTCACAGGGCCATGTTGGAATTGTTCTTGCTTATATGATGCCATCATGTCAGGTAAATCCTCAATAAAAAGATTTCTGGTAACTATCTTAAATGTGTACGTAGAATGAACACATAGAAGTCGCAGTTGTCTCAGCAGAGGACTTAGGTTTGAAACATGCACATTTTTTAGCATAGTCTCCAAATGTGTGTGGTGCTTTCCAGAGAAGACAAAAGTTATAGGAAAATAGGAAATATTTTCAAGCTTATTAATATTGGCAAGTATTAAATACCTTTGATTGTTCCTGGGTTTCCAGCTAATCATTTTGTAGCTCTCAGACTCTGCCACAAGTGATTCAGAGGTTTTCTCAACAAACTACAAAGTTTTCTGCTTGGTAATGTTGTACTTTGATTTCTCAGTATTATTTTGCCTTACTTTCTCCTATGTTTGGAATCTAGGTGATACTCATAGAAAATAAGGAGTTGTCTCTGATCCGTGCTAAAGACAGAAGTGATGAACTAGGTTTAAACAACATTTGGTTCATTCAAGCAAATTTGGACTACTTTAATGGATCTTTTAACATTGGGGTAAGTGGTGATAACTTTTCTACTTCCAAACTTCAGTGTCTGATTAATTATTCCTAAAACAACTGATATACATGAGGGAATAAAATTCTGTATGTCCTTACAGACTGTGAAAGTAAATGAGATTAATGTCCTGTCTAGAATTTTTCAGCTCTAGTGAAGAGTAAGGCATAAATAGTGTTTTGTAGTTCTGTAAATATTCCTGTCATCTATTTTCTCCTGCTGTTAATAGAATATGAACCTCCATGGCAAGGTGCAAGCTTTCCATGCAAGACTGACTGTTCTTTAAATCATCCATCTAAAAGCCTGTTTTGTCTGTAGCTGGGGATAGATAATGCTGAAGGTGTATGGTACATGAACAGTGCTGTTTAACTGTTTGGTTGGTTTATTTAAGAAAGAAAAGAAATTTAGTGTAGGAGAAAGAGGAGAGAATAAATGATTTTAGCCCAATCCTTCCAAGTGTAGATTTCCAATTCTCTAGCTTTATTTTCTGTACTACACTGTCAGTAAATCTCAGTGGGTGAACTAGAGAGCTATTTCAAAATACAGGATTTCATTCATAATACCCTTAGTTGTGTGTGTGAAATGCTTAATAATTGTTTTATGAAGTGAGTCTCCAATTTTGTGGTCATTGGAATTCCTGTCTTGATTTCTGGGGGCCCATTTTAAAGGTTAATACAATGTTAACCCTGTGGAGTTTTTATTTAATAAAAAAAGTATTATATTCTCTCTTTCAAGTTTGTGACAAGGGAGATACTGAAGTATATGTCAGAAGAGTCCACTTGGAAATTCTTTTCCAGCCCTTCATTACCAAATATCTGCATTAGTCTTCATATTTTATTTTGTTTTAGATAGTGAGTTCAATATATAGGGTATACAGAGAAAGCTTTGTCTTTAATTTTATTTGGGATTTTTTCTTAACTAAATGGGTTTTCAGAAAGCCAAAGAAGAAATCATTTGGAGTAACAGGTCATACAGGCTCAGCAAAGCTACTGATTTATCTGCTGCTGTTTTAAGGTCTCTTTTTCTGCAAGCAAAGCAGGGAGCTTCGTTTTCCACTTGGATAGATGAGGAAGTAACTATAATTGCATTCCATGATAATCAGATAGCTGTGATATTAAGAATCTATTTCTGATGTTAAACTAGTTTATTTTTGTTGTTAAGTTCATATGAGCAGAAAATTTCATTGTGCAATTATTTTCATGTTAATTTTTTAGTGTTCTGCCTGAGACAAGAGTATTTGTTTCCATCTGTGTGCAATTACAGTTCATTTGATGATTAATGGTCTCCTCAGCTGAGCTTACAGCAAGCAGACTGGAAACAAAAAAGACTTTGTTTTAATCTATATCTGAGAGCAAAATTTTTAGCTTCCCAATTGCTCTACCTTGAAAAACAAGCTTTGAACCCTGAAATCTGAGCTCTGCAGTCTTAAACCTCTTCTCTAAACGTATAGTGAACAAAAAGCAAAGCAAACAATGTAGTTTTATAAATCCACACTGCTGCATAAGATCAGCAATGTGCCTCAAAAATATCCTTAGTTTAAGTATGCACCAGGCCTACTTTTTGGGAGGAGGCAGAGAAGGTAATGCCCCATTCCAGTGGTGCATTTGGCATCCCAGGTATAGATAGGAGAGAGCTGCCTGCCTTCCCCTGCGGTATATTGAGTACTGCAGTCATTTGCTTTTCTATAAGAGAGCAAAAAGAATTTGGGTGGAGCCTGTGTTTTGCCCAGACACGTCAGTGCTCACAGGTAGTTGTGATCAAATGTTATTTTAGTTGAAGAGCCCCTCACTAAGAAAAAGAAATAAAAGAATAAGGAGAGGGAAAAAAAATTAAAGGAAGGTAAATTGTATTTGATGCCTCCCCCAGCTCCAGTGTTTGTTTCCTATAGGTTTTACTCAGTACTTGAAAATCAAATTATCTAAATTTATGCATAATTTTTTCTTTAGATGTGACCTTCAGGTATACCTGTTTCTTCTCTTACTGCTTAGTTGAAATCCAGTTTTGACATAGTTCTTTGTATTTCTAAGTTCTTTTTGCTTGAAAACTTTTGACAAATCGCCACATAGTTTTTCTGTTATTATGTGTTCCACAACTAGTATTTTTCTGGAGATTTGTTTTTAGTTTATTTGATATCACAATGAAGTGCACCTGCCTTCTGAGTGCTTTTGGTGAGTGACCCTTCTTCAGTGTTTATTCTTTGTTCATGAAATAAATTTTCCTCAACATAGATATAAAGGAGGGGAATGAAAAACTGGAGAATTGAGGACCAGGCCTTTGGTGTATCAGCTTTAGTTGCAAAAACTTCGTGTATTTAATTAACTCCGCCAACCAAAAAATGCTGGATTGTGCTTAGAATGTTCTATTGATGAGTTTTCTTGTTTGCTTGGTTGTTTTGTAGGTGGCCCTGCACGCCTGCGGGGTGGCCACAGACATGGTGATGGAGCACTGCCTCAGGGCGCGGGCAGCCTTTGTCATCTCCCCCTGCTGCTACGGCTTCATTCAAAATACTGTCAAGTTCAAATATCCTCGAAGGTAAACTAAAGCTTGCAAGATAAACCTTAAAATATCAATTTAAGTGAGGGAATAAAATCCGAGAAGAGTCTAGAATTAATAATTTGAGGGTCAATGAGAGTGACTAGGCTAAACTGATTCACACTTACAAGAAAACTGTTTCCTCCTGCTTGTCGACCCAGCCTCACAGGCAGATTGGTAATTCCTGGATTTATCTATTCATGTTTCACAAGTTTTGTTGTAAATGCAGGCAAACCCAGTGGGAAGAGATTATGATGTTTGACTCAATTCAGAAGGCTGAATGATTTCTTTATTATAATTATGCTAAAATACATTAATATACTATATAAAGGAAGATACTAAAAACTACAAACCTACTTGTTCTAACTATATCTCTCACACGACTCGTGACCCTCTCTCTCGAGTCCAGACAAAGGTGGATTGGATTTGCCATCAGGTGCAAATCCTCACCAGAATCCAATCAAGCACTCACTCCAGGTAAACAATTCTCCAAGCATATTCCACGTGAGAAAAACAAGGAGCAGAAATAGAAATTGTTTTCTCTTTCTATCTCTCTATGAACCTCTATGAAAAATCCTGAGAGAGAGAGATGTGCTGCCACAGACTTGATATTATAGAAAAGTATGAGAAATACATAGTAGAAACAGTATCTTATATGCAGACCTTCTGCCTTAATCACAAAGTTCATAGAAAACTCATGGAAATTACTCTAAGAAGGTGAATTGACATTTTAATGTTGGAGGAAGATGTAAGCAGTCAGTTTAAAGAAATGGGTCTGCTTTATACCACAGTTTACTGCTTGTAGGACTCCTTTGATTTATTCCCAAGCAGATAAGCTCTCCTGTGTTTTAGTTCATATTTTTAATACTTTTTCAATGGATTGTGTACATATTTTGTCTTCAAATCTGCCTTGTGGGAGATACTAATATATCTCATCCTTAAGAATTTTAATGCCTTTGATACAAATAAAATGTAAAAGATAAGCATAAAGTTGCAGAAGATAAGCGGTTAAACAGCCTTCTGAGTCAGAACTAGGTGGAGGAAAAGGGTTGTGTTTTGCTTGGCTTTGTTTTTTTTTTTTTTTGTGTTCATAAAACTGAACTTTGCATGTTGGATGTCCAAGATTAATTAGATTTAATTCTACCAGGAATTACATCAATGACTTAAGTATATATTTGCTAAAATAAGAAACTGAAACATGCAGTTTAAAAAGGTATCAACAAATCTAAAGAGATATTATGCATTCATGTGAAGTATTTCTCATACTTTTCTATAATATTAAAGTGTTCTGGCACTAGAAAGCAATCCTTTATAACTTATAACTTTGTAACTTATAACTGTTTTTCCTTAGTCAATTTGATACTACTGTCTCTTTTGTTTTCTCTTGTGACACAATAAAACAAATAAGTCTTCTAAAGAAGAGGCAATAAAATTCCAGGCCTTCTAAAATTAACAGGCATATCATTTTTCTCAGTAGATTTGTTTTAAAATTGGCTGGTTAATGTTTAACTTTTCACCAGCTACATTTTTAGACCACAAGACTGGAAGTTATCACTTAGAAAACCTTTGTTGCTGTGGATGCTAAAAAAATGTTAGTGTTTGCTGAAATTTTCAATCTAACCTCATAAGTCTATGAAACTATCAACCTGGTCTTGAGCTACATTTTAGGATTTGCTTTTTCTTTTTTTCCTTATGTTATATGACCATAAAACATGATAGCCTGGCTGTATCCCATAATGGCTGTGTTCTGTACTCAATTCCATTGTTGAGACCCTTTAGCTTTGTGACACAAACAAAATGTGTGTATTATTAAATATATGTAAAGTGTTTGTGCGACAATAAGAAAACCACAGTAAGTATCTGTTAGAATTTTTAATAATTTAAAGAGCAAAATTTTATTAATACTAGGAAAACTGGAACTGTAATGGGTTTTGGTATTTTTTAAAGCCTTTCTAAACAGATGTTGCTGGGTTTTTTTAAATGTGTTCAAGTATATAATGATTGCTTCTGTTTTCCACCTTTGCTGTTTTCACATTTTCACAATTCCAATAATTGATCTATTATTTTTTTTTCAGTCATCAGTTCAAAGAAATTTTGTCTTACAAGGTATGTAAAAGGACAGAGGGAAGATGTTTATGTGCAGTCTCCTGCATTTCAGTGGGTCTTCTTATCAAATGAAATATACGTGGTTATCTTCTAATTGTAAGGAGGGGCATGTGTTAGTGAAATGTTCATTATCTATGCAGGTACCATTGTGTTTTCTCTTCACTGTCCATTTTAAAGGCTTTTTTCCTCAATAAAATTAAATTGTTTCTCCACCAAAAAAAACCCTTTTTTGTCATAATGTATAAGTGAGCCATTCCTAAGGTACTTAAATGTGTATCAGCTAAAAATTACAGGATACCAATTTGTTTAGGTGTTAAATACAACTGTTGTAATTAACATTAGAGTCCTCCCTCTAATTTATGTCTAAAACATTGGATATAGTAAATGGGAAGATCTTAAACAGATCAGCGAGAATTTAATACAGTATTTATATTTTATACAGTTTTAAATATGTTGTTCGAAATTATTTTTAAAATATTAAAGTGTGTTTTGACCCTGAGCAGCTGGGGTCTGTGAAGATAATCTGAGAGGAACTCAGGAGAAATTATCAGTGAAGAATACAGATCTGACAGATTGAAGGATGACAGGAGAGTCAAAAAGGACAAGAGCAGAGAGGTGGGCAGCAGAAAACTGGTACTGGTCTGTTAAGTTTTGTCTTGAGAGTTTAAACTAGTTAGTGATGAGCAGCCCAAAATGTGAAGGTTAAAGGCACTTAATGGGGCATGGAAAGAACATGTTTCCTTTTGAGAGAAGCAAGGTTATGTAAATTTACAGCTCAAATCCTAGACAGGACTCTTTTACAATAGGGAAGTGATTTCTGAAAGTGCAGAATAATTCTTTGTAATAGAAATACGGAAATGAAGGAGGTATTTCTAATATCCAAATGCTTTTGGAAACAGTGAGCAGGGCAAGGATAATGTATGTGGCAGGAAAATAGAGATTATCCTTTTTTAATCCCTAAATTAGAGGGAGTTTTAAAAACTCAGAAAATCTCCAGCCGTCTTGTAAGGGAAGTTCAGTTATCAGGTAATAAATGCCCAAAGATTGAGATGCCAAAAGCCAGATGATGGATTTGGAGCTGCCATTATTTTTTCCCATGATTAATGTTCCTTTCAGCATCTCTGTGACATAATCTCAAAGAACTCAGGTTTCAGTTCAGAAAAAAATTATTCACTAGCATTATTAAACCTGCTGACAATACAGAGAGAGGTGGTATCAATTATAGAGTCAAGGATGCCTAGATTAGGATAGTGTGTATAATCTCATTGCAACTCGGTGAATTTCTTCTTAATGTGTTAAACCATGGAGATTTAAATCACGGGATCTGTCAATATTGCAGAAGCTTCAGAATTTTATTATTTGTGTTGCAGGAGGGCACAGGAGTCAAAGATAAGGCTGAAAAATATTGCTGTTCTTAGTAACAGAGAGTCTATACAATTGGTCTAGGCTGGTTGGTGCCTCAAATAATCCTAGTTATAAATAACTTCTGTTATGCAGCTAGCTATATGTGTTTTTTATATTTCATATTAATAAATTCTTACAGGTTATTGGCTAGCAGCCACAGTTGCCATGTGTTAGCCAGACATTGTCTGTGTCACCCACTCCGCTTCCCATTTTAAATTAATTTCTCTTATCTTTCATTTTAGTGAGATCTAAAAAGACATCCAGAAGTCTGGCATTTCCAAAATTTTTTTGATGATAACATTATGCTGTAATTCATCTGTTTATAGTTGCAAGGAATAAGGTTATGTAGCTGTAGATTTTTACTATAGTACATTTTGAGACTTGGTCAAGACACAAGGAGAATTGTAAAGCAGAACTGTATAAATTTGCAAATACAGCTTTGGAAATTTAATAGGAATTGAACAGATGGGTGTTCTAGTAAACAAGTTAACTCTGTATGCACACTCTTTGGGAAGTTTCTAATTATTACTTTAGAAATGTTTTTTTTTTTATTTCATCCAACAGAGAATATGACAATGTAATCATTGTGTCAAGGAGAAACAATGTAGTCATAACAGATTCTAGTTTATCTTTTTGGATCATACTGTAAGAAGCCAAGGATTGGAGTCAGTCCAGATTTTCAGGTTAAGTGGCAAGACTTACCTTGGCTCTGGTCTGGTCCAAAGAGCTGGGAACTTACTGTTGCAAAGAGCCAAGTTTTATCAGGTGCCTGAAGACTGGTGAGGAGTTGTGTGCTAACATGGGTCTTCTCCCTCTCCTATAAATCCTTCTTTTTCTCCCCAAGCTGCCTGTCACTGCTGCTTCTCTCCTAACAGCGGCCGCATAGTCCATGGCACCCATTCTTCTCTGTTCTTCAGTGGTCACATCTGGGTTTAACATTTTCACCTCTGTTGTACTACAGGAGTAGCCACATTTGAACTGAACTGACTGGGTGTAACATGTTTAAAGCCCTAAATGTGTTATGGCATGTTCTTATTTTGCTTCCGAATTTTTTTATGAAGCTGTGAGCTGGAAACCTTCATGTCAATGCACTGTACTAGGGAACAAATACCCTTGCATCAAGATATTATAAATATATTTAAATGAATGATATTTCTGTATCAAGTATATAATATTTCATTTTATAATATACGGGAAATTTTTTTTGTGGTCAGGTGTCTATTTATGAATGGAGTGGAGTGTACTGGGGGAATTGCCATCTTGATTTAATATGAAGGTTTTTTGTGGAGTGAAGGTTTGGATGTTCATGGCCCTCTAAAAAAAGCTGGAGTAAGTATCCTTACTTCAGGATACTGGAAGAACCTGAAGTATCCTTAGGCGAAGTTACTCTCTCCACCTGTTACAAGAACAGAACCTTTAAAATCATAATTTTATGTCAGGCAAGAATAAAATTTTATTTTTTTTTAATGCAAGACACATGTCCTTGTTTCAGAGCTGTAGCTCTGGAAACTTTGCTTAGGAGAGCACTTTGTTGTTGCCCATTTCTGTTTCCTCCCCATAACATTGCGGGAGACTTGGGAACGTTGTGTGATTCTAAAATGGTACTGATTTACTCTGCTCTGTACTGAGTATTGCAGCTGTCCCACAAAGCACAGCTGTCATCAGAGCAGCAATTCCACTGCCACACCTGCAAGGCTCTTGCTCTCACCACCTGGCCAACCGGCCTTCCTTGGCTTGGCTGGTCTTTGAGGAGCCATTGTGCTGGCATGAGTGGTGGGCTTTGGAGGCAAGTGAGGATGGGGCTCTGCTGCTGCACCCTCCCCTGCACCCTGGCTGAGTGGGCAGGGAGAAATTCTTCTATTGAAGTGTCTGCAGAAAATTTTAATGGAACAGGGGTAGTTTGAAAGTAAATTGTGCTCCTTTTGTTGGAGGAAACTTTCCTATTCACAGCCAGGTATTTTTTGCCTTCAGGATCTGATTGGATTTGGCAGGGCAGAGGAAGTTTGACCCACCAGCCTATCCTGGCATTCAAAATCACTGCTTTGGAGAAATGTTCAAATCAACTGTTAAAGAATTTTGTCTCTGCTGCTTATTGATGCAGGGAGGCTGCCCTATTATAACTCTGCTAAAAGATGGCTGTGTTGCTCATCAGTTATTGAAGGCAAAATTAGTCTGCAGGATGTCTTTGAAGAATGCTGTCTTGTATACATTGCATCCCATTCGACTACTGCAAAGAATTAGGAAGTTTAGCAAGAAACAAATACTTATGAGGAGAAATGAGACAGTGATTACAAACTCTTGACTTACACACATGTTTGCAGTATAAAAATTGGGATTTCCATACAAGTGAATTTGTTTAGAAATACTGTCTTCAATGTGATAGCATTTCTGGTATACGTAAGTATTTAATCTGATTTTTCTTGATGAATCTCCTTTTTTTTTTTGTCTTTTTTATAGGAGCACATGATCCTTTGCAGATTTGCAGATCAGACAGCTGTTCAGCTTCCACCTGAACGCAGGCTAATTGGTATGAATTTCTGCAGCTGTGGTATAAACCATCCCAGTAATGGTTTTACCTTGATGCATAAAGGAAGAAATAGGACATTTATGAATAGGACATTAAGTAGATGTCTTCAGATAACAGTTGAAAATTTTAAGTTTTGTCACATTTCATATCTTGCTGTTCCCTTCTTGCTATAGAAACGATTTCTTCTTCCAGAATCATCAATATTAAAGTGACAGTTCAAATTTTACTGTCTGGTATTATTATTTTGATGGAAGCTGTAAACTAGCTTCCAGGTCAGAAAAGACAGAAGGGGGTAGGAACTCAAAGTCTGCTTAGAAATAAGTCTGCTTTTTTGGCTGAGAAGAAACATTTACAAAGTATATTAAAGCAGTACTAGCTAATAAGCATAAATTTTTTAAGAAGCTTAATTTGAATTGAGTGAAAGTATTTCACTTGAATTTGAGTGAAAGTATTTCTTATACTTGCTGCACAAAAAGAAAATAACAGAGATCTTGTATAAAAGCTGATAGTAAATTTGTCAGTTTCTTTTGTCATCATCACAATATTTGAAAAACAAATTTTAAAATTCACTTACTAGTGTTGGACCCCATGCTGTGGGCTGAAAATTGAAAGAGGACCCAAAAATTTTTTTTGAGAGATTGTAACTTTTGTCTGTTCTCAGTGTCTGAAACTTCAGGGTTTTTTTTCACAAATGCAACTTCAAAGTGTTTTGCCCTGACAGTATGTACACTTATAATAATAATATTGGAGTCAGTGGCCATTTTGTTCAACCAACCACAGAAGGTGGTTTTCTATGAAACCACAAATGTGGGAGGATAGGGCTACAAAATGTAATTTGCAGACTTCTGTCTGGTTGGTTATATAAATTAGTGATTTCTCCCTACAACATACAAATCCATACAGGACTGAGTTGGAAAGATATTTTTCAGGCCCTCTCTTACTATTGTATCTTTAAATTGTCTCCAACCCAATTACTACCTCTCTCAAATCTCAAGCTACCAACAGAACTGAGTCCAAGTGTCATAATAGTGAGTTCAAAGTAGTGAAATTCTTTTGTAACTAAGGAATGCAGCTGAGAAGGAGAAGATAGTTCTGGCCGTGGGCTCACTGTGGACAGACAGAGTAGTCTGGACTCAGCCCTGCATTCAGTTGTGATGTGTACCAGCTGCTCTGAAATACAAGGATACTGCAGGGTGTGTTGGTGCCACCTGCCCAAAACTTCTAGAGGCACCTGACCAGGGTGCATAACAGGTCTGGTAATGATACAGGCACAAAAGCTCTTTATATATTCAGGGAAGTAGTAGTTTGTAGTAGTAGTAGAAGTTTGGAATGCCAGACTCCAATTCCAAAGGCAAACAGGATGTGCTTCTGTCTCTTCACCTCAGGCTCCAAATACATTTAACTATAGAATTCTGTCGGGAACAAGGGAAGAGGCAGGATTATTCTGTCTGAGACTGAAGCAGGATTGTGCCCTGTTGACTTGAGACTGTAACTACTAATGATAAAACATTTCAAAGTAGCATTAAATTTTCCTGGCAATAGAGTTTCAAGCTGCTGAAAATACAATCTGACAAGTCAATTCTGTTTTTCAGAACATAATAATAAATTATAATGAGTAGATAAGTAAAGACAAATGGTCCCATCATCTTGTCATGGCTGTATCATAATAAAAAACTTCTAAGCAGAAAAAACCCCTCTATCCTTCCTGGTTTTTTTCTGCAGGTAAATCTAAAATAAGCGTATTTTGCATTACCAATTTAGTATGTTTCTTTATAAGTAGTTATAGTAATATGTCTCATATCAATTACACTAGATCACTTTTTGGTATTTTAGTCTATTGTTTATGTTCAATAACCAGAGATTTTCAGATTTTAGGTGAAAGTACAGGAGGGAAACAGCTACGGTTATAAAGGGAGTAGAAGTCTGGCAATTGAGAGGGCTAAGGGGTAACCTAGGCATTTTTCTTCATCCCATTTACACTAAAGCATGCTTTTTTCTCTAAGTTTTGAGAATAGTTTTAAATAGTTGTGCCTTTCTTTATATATAAAGAGTTAATAATCTCTTCAAGGTCTTTGCTAAATGAGGGTTAGAAGTCACAGATGTGATTTGGAACATAAACCAGATTAAGATGTTTTTTAAAGTATATTTGGAACTTATTTTTTAGATGGATTACTGATGTGTTTTCCTAACATTGAATATTTACGTGCATGTTTCTGATATTGTTTCTACATTTTGAGTTTCTGTGCTCTCCCTTGCTCTCATTTTAGGAAAGCAGTGTATGGGACTTGTCGATCTGGATCGGGCATGGGCTGCAGAAGAACATAACTACTCTGTCCAAGTTATATCTATGGAGCCAGAGAGCTGCTCTCCAAAGAACAATATGTTTGTGGGCATCCCTGCTTAGAGTATGAAACTTGCATTCAATTTGAAGCTGAACATAAATCTTCAGTGCATAATGACATCCAGCAGATAGAGGCAGAGCTGGGAAGCAGACATCCCACATCTTGAACACATTGTCTTTGGAAAGGGAAGCAGCCCCCAAAGTCCTAAAAAGCAAACTGCATGCAGAGCATCACAAATCAACTTGTAATGTGTCATTAAGCAACTTTCGGTTCTCATACTGAGAACTTTCTGGATCTAATGACTGTGCATGGAATTATATCCATCTGTAAAACTTTACAAAAAACTGGCTTTGTTGAAGGAAAGGTGATTTCCTTTTCAGTAAAGCTGTGTCTTGGCTGCTTGGAAATTGCACTCATGGTCAAAACAGCATTTGTGCTCATAAGCAGAGCAGTTGTCAGCCAGCAGTGCTGATCACCAGAGGAACAGAGAAGATCAAATTTACTGTGTTACTGAAGATGGCTGTGCAACACGTGGTGGCCTGTCTTTGCTAAAGAATTCCATACTACTGTAGGAAGATTATTTTTAATAAAAGTTCATCAGAATACTTTGGGCCTCAATCTGCTTATTAAAAATGTATTATACTTTTCCAATAATTTTTAAAGAGTTCAGAATTACCTTTAAATATTATGCAAGGATTCTGTAACCAAGCATTTGACATTTGGTTTAAAGAAACCAAACTCTTCATTATCCATTGACCAGAAAGTGGGAGCTAGACATGGTGTTAGTAAATGGATCTTTCACTGTTGCATTGGCAATAGAAGTGTGTTCATTCCTATTCATAATAAACTTGCTGTCCAGAAGAAATATTTAAGAGCAGTTCATGTGTCTACATACATCATCTTATTAATTGTATATTCAGTTTAAAATTTGACAAAAATTGCAGTGTGGAACCATTTGAAAAGCTCATCGTGGTTAAGCTGCTCTAAAATGAAAATAAGCATTCTCCTGTGTTCCATTCCCCCCTAATTTTAAATCACCTGTTGACAATAACACAATGGAAGGTAGCTCCTAATGAGATTTTTACATGTTTAGGTGTTTTGCACATCTGTGAATTCTGCCATGTTTCAATTTAAATAATCTGAAATTTGAAAACTGTGAACATGGCTTCAAGAAATGACTAACTGAATTACAAAGAATAAGTATTGGAGGAAAAAAAGGATCAAAAATATTTAAATATTCATGAAACTTAGATATCTAAAATATCTAAATACTTGGGGTTTTTAAAATGTGAACACATGGAATGCTACCCACTTATTTAAAAAGCATAAAAGTGAGCAAGTAGGAGCGAATTCCTACCTTTAGCCTGAGTTCTTCCATAGATAATGATAAAATACTTTTTCTGCAACTATTTGTGGTTACAGGAGGAACTTGAGTTTTGAAGAATATATGGCAAATGCAAAATACATGGCAAAACCAGTTGTCTCCAGAGTCTTCTGCAATACTTGCCCAATGGGAATTTAGTTTCTAAATTAGTGGTATGTCAATCGGAACATTAGTCATGTTAAATTACTTTTCTGGAGTGAGCAGATTTCTCTTTATGACCTTCTTGTCTGAAGGAAGAACTTGTCAAGGTGAGGAACCTGTTGGAAACTGTGATGCTGTTTACAGTAAGGGTTTTCACACCTCTCTGCTCCAGGCAGTGGGTAGCAATATCAATGTTTTTATTATGGTGCTGTTGAATATTTGGCATGGTTTGATACTACGCAATAATACTGAGCTTTCGGCAGAGCAGAATTCTGTGCTCTTATATGCTTCACATTTTTTACAGTATCTGTATCAATAGTCTGTAATAGTTTTTTGATCTACCTGAAAAGAGATAATACATTTGGGATGTGCAATAGGAAACATGTGTGCTACTGAATAAAAGATAATTTTTTTTTTAACAGGCAAAACAGGATTTCTTAAAGAGAGGTGATACTGGTGTAAGCTTGTTGCTATTGGCATCAATGGGCTCTGGTTTCCTCTCAGGAGAATAAAATCTTTCTCATGTCCAAGGATGGAGTTATCTTACTATGAATACTGAAGCCTGAGCTATACTTCAGATGAACTGATGCTTATTGAAAATTGAAGAGAAGCAGATGAAAAAAAACCCATAAAAACCCAAGATTTGCAGCAAGACATAATACCTAATTCATCACAGATTAAATTGATAAATTGTGGCATGTACTTTTCTCTAGAAAGATGAACTCAATTAATTTTTAGGTATGTTACTTTACCCTATGTTTCTGTATACATAAATGATATGGAATTAATAGAGCCTAAAATTGCCTAAACAAGGTGACTAGACAGTGTGGTCCTGCCAGACTGATGTTCTGGCAGCTAGTTATGCAAGGAGTTATCTTGATGTCCAAGGTACATATCTAAATATTATTTGTGTTTTTCATTTGTCTGGCCCATTGGGACCACTATAGGGTGAGCAAAATGCTGTCCTAGCATAGTCATGATTTCCCATTGACAGTCTTCTTTTATGTTTCCCTTGTAGCCTGTAATGTTGGAAAAAGTAACCTTATAACAGGAAACAGATGACCAAGCCTTGTTAAAAGTTAGTTATCTGTGTGGACATGTATCCTTATTTTTGGGTTTTCATTTTTCTCTTTATTGTGTTATCTATCTGCTTCTTCAGCCGTATTTCAATAGATCTTATTGCCATATTTAGGCAGGGGTAGTAATTAACAAGGGACATTCCTAGTAGGTTCATTGTGCCCCCTAATTTTTATGTGGCTTGATCTAAACGAAAAAAGGTTAAATGTTGCTATTATTCTGATAAAGCCATCTTTTAATTTTTGCTATTAATGAAAACTACGAGTGGTCAAAATTACTCAAAGATAATCCTTCAAAAGACACAAATAAAATTATTTAATTACAAGATGGCAATAAATTTTAGACCACTGTCTTCTGTTTCTTATTTTTGCTAGACTTTTAGCTACTTGGTGGATGCAATGACAGTAAGCAGAAATGACTCTCTAAAAGCTGTATTCCTAGGTGACATGCAATGTCAGGTATTCTCATTGAAAACAGCATTTAAAGAAACCATTTATGGTCAAGTAAGTTTAAGTAACCTGAAATGAAATGTCACTCAGCTGATTTAATAATAGGTTTAAACAGATGTTAGTATGGCTCAACACCATAAACTGAGGCAATTTTCTTTTAAAATTTTGGTATAGAGTTAGTAATTAACCCTTTCAGTGTGTGTATATATATATATATATATATATATATATATAATTTTTAGAAAGTATTGATCCAGGAAAGCATTTATTAGCAAAAAGTAACTGAAGAGTTTAAGCATTAATATTAATTTTGGTCTTGGTGCATAGCTGTCAGCAGAAGGAAAAGCACATTTTCCTTTAAGCATGATCAAGTACTACTTTCAGTGCTTTTGCCTTGGACCATTTGCCTGTCATAATAAATTCCTTGTGTACAATCTCAGTCTAAGTTCCTGTGGTTTTATTACCGTTTTTTTATACAAAATTGAAACCTAGATATCATGCATTTATCTGTCTATATGTCTAGTGTTACTCACATGCCTCTAATAAAATGAAGAAAACCTCTGAACTTTCCATGCTCAGACCTGCACTTAAACTACCTGGCCATCAAGGTTTCAGTTCAGTAGCTTGTGCTTAGCAAGTTTCAGCTTACTACAACTATCATTAAACAAAAATTCAATTTTCTAAGTCAATAATATATTAAGATTCTATACAAAGAGTAAAACTGAAAGCAACTTAATTTTCTTTTCTTGTAGCTTTCATTTAATCAGAAATTACATGAGTAAAGAAGTACCCTTCTCTGCAGTCTTCTCATAGTGAATTTAAGAAAATACTTGAATTTTCAAAATAGATAAAGGTGCTGAGGATATTTTTATAATAAATCACTTAGATCAATTTAAACAATGCAAGGAGAGGAGTTAACATTATCCCACTATTAGCCTCTAAAAAGATGATCAGCTGTTACAATTTTCCCCATTTTCTGTCTCACTTGCCAGACTTCAGGCCTGAAATGTGTTTTCCTGGGCATGAAACCTACAGAGCAAAACAGGAGTGAGCCTTGGATGGCTGCTGTCCCTGTCCCCAGCACAGGAATGTGCCATGCCTTGGCTATGTGAAGCTCTTTCACCCTTGTTTTTCCCCCTTGGTAATGTGGGAATAATGTCACTCATTTTCTCTTGGAAAACACAGGCTCTAATATTCGTGTGCTCTTTTGGAAAGAGACCTATGAAAGCTGTGAGATTATTTGACCCATAACAGTTAAGGTTGCTTCCCAACCTTAAATACCTGAAATTCTTGCTATGCTAATTTTAGCCCCTACATTTTCCTTGTTTTGCTTTACCGGGTATGCTGTCTATGCACTAATTACTGCTGCTTCCAACATACAGGGGCAAAATAACTAATATTTTATGTCAGACACAGCTATAGGAAATAGAAATATGTGCTTAATGACTGAAGCTCAGCTCAGGTTAGTGCATTGTCTTTTGCACTGCAGCTGAATGCTAATGACAGTGTTCCAAAACTGGCACAGTAAAGCAATGCGTTAGGTGTCCTCATTTAATGGGTGGGGAAAAAGTCTGGAATATTTTTAAACGAACATTTCTGGATCTAGGTGTCACCTTATTTCTGCAATCCACAGCAAGTCTTAGAAAGCTGCAGTTTTATGGATAAGTTTGTTTCCAAGTGCAAAACAAAGATCTTTCTCTCCTCTTCTGACCCACACCTCTGCCAGCTACAATATTATCAGATCACCCGGTGCAGTTCAGGAAAATAGAGTGTGAGATGCGTTAATTTGATTCTCCCAGAGGATGCACAGGTACACACATTCACACCTGCTTGCCCCAGTGATGCAGGAACCTCACTGACATTTTCAGTGTCAGGATTCCTCCTCCTTATACTTTCGATTTAATTTAAGACCTCTGTGGAGGTAGAAAGCTGAATGTATGCAAAAAGTATTACCACAAATGACCCAGCCCTGCTGTGTTGAAGAGGGCAGTTTTTAACAAAGCCACATGAAGAAAGGCAGGGATATGTTTTCCAGACTACAGATAGCAAAAGAATGACTCCTGTGCAAATTCCTCTGAAGAGTATATGGCGCATACCCCACAAAGGGAAAAATCCCCAAACAGCTGATTCTATCATTGATCTGTAGGCATACTAGAAATGGGGTTTTTTGAGCTTTGAAGGCCAGACCAGAAAGACAGCATATTTGAATTGTTCATTTCTCATAATCGGTGCTTTCAGATTCATACAAGGTGCTTAAATATTCATCTATTAAATGTATATTAGGGATTGCTATAGTGTTTTTACATTTTTATATAAAGTATTAAATCTCATTTTGGATTTTTCAAAAAATGGAAAAGTCATCCCTACCCATTCTTCAACACCCAGCATGTTGTCAAATACCCAAAAGGATGAATTGCAAGAACAGAGAAACTTTTGTAAGAAATGAGCCTCCTCATGTAGAGCCGGAGCTGAACATATCCTTGTGCTCTCCAGAGCCCCGGATCAATTTCCACCATTCTCCCCACACCCCAGAGCACCCAACGGGACCAGGGGCGGAGGAGCAGCCCTGAACCTGGCAGGGCTGAGATGAGTTCCCTGCTGCTCTCAGGAGCCACAGCCCTTCCTTCTGAACACAGGTCCCGAGGCAGAGTGGCTAGAAGGAAAAGCGAATACTAATTCTGCTTCTTCTGCTCTGTCACCTTCCGTAGTGGAGCAGGGCCTCAGGAGGAAGGTGCTGTCCCC